GGATACTCCACTGTTTTGTTAGTGATACGTGCACCGTAGTGCTATGACGTACACTTCTGGCGTTATATACGCACTCTAATTATGATTAGTATTTGATGGATATGAACTGATGATGCGACTGTTTTGTAATTCTGTATCTGGTTAGTACTGTTTCATTACTGGCTTTGTTATCACACTACTGGGATTTTTCTCACCCCTTTGGGGCTGCTATTTTTATAAAATGGCAGGAGGACGGAAGAGCATATGAAGACATGATTATGTGGATATTTGCTGTTGTGTGCTGCTGTTTGGACTTTTGTTGTTGCTGTTTATTTGATGGATGACTGTATTAAATTGAGAAGTTTGGCTTACTGTTGGACTATGGTTTTAGTGCTGTTTTAAGACTTTTATGATCAGCAAGTATTTTGGGAAAATTCTAAAAATGTTTTTGCGAAAAGAAATTTTGACGTTTTAATTAAAGCGCTGATTTTCAAACAGCCTTGCGAGCACTTTGTGAGTTCTGTTTCGAGGGGCAAACGACCTCCGATTTATTATTATTATTATATATGCACGCGAAGCCCCACGTGTCTAGTTTTTTTTTTTTTTTTTTTGATAACACCACGTGTCTAGTTTTTGATTACAAAAGCGTTACAATGGAATTTTGAAAACTTGATTTTATACGAATTTTAAAGACAGTAACGTCTAGCCAAACCGATTCAAACCGCGGTAACCGAACCGAAAAACCGAAAACCGAATAAACCGAAAACCGATAAACTGAAAACTGAAAAACCGAAAACCGAAAAAAAACCGCAAATTTTAATTGGATTGGATCGGTTTTTGGATGGGTTGATGAAAACCGATCCAATCCAAACCGATCCAATATATTAATTCCCCTCTACCTACTTGGGTTTTTCCCTAATCATAGCCCAAAAATTTCTAATCCCAAGACCCATTAATCCATCAACTAAACCCAAGAAAAAATCTAGTCACATCTCAGCAATAAAATTTTATCTTTATAAACCTTCATATCTCATTGCCCAAAAAAAAAAATTATATTATAGTTTACTGATGCTTTTGTATTTCAAAAAAAAAATAAAAATTACAAAGCCAATATATACAAAGATGTAATTTGCACAATAATCAAGAAATAAATTTTGGAATTTTCAAAAAACCGAAAACCGATTCAATCCAAACCGAAAAAAATTGGATTGGATCGGATCGGATTTGAAAAAAAATCCAAACCGAATGGATGATTATATGATCAAACCGAAAGGATTGGATCGGATGATTTTTGCTTCCAAAACTGATCCAATCCAGACCGCGAACACCCCTAGTAACGTCTGCGAGAAATTTACATTTTTAGCAAGTTAAATAATTTTAAAAGTACACTCTGATTTTTGTAAAACATCTCAATTTCAAGTATAAGTTTTTAATTAGCAGCATCTAAAGAATTTCTCAGTACTTAAAATTTGACGAAAGAACTCTAATTCCGCTTAGTAAACAAACTCTCTTGGATGCATACAAGGGAAGGTGTTACACCTGGCACTACCATCTGCTGCAAATTTAAATCAGCTATTAGTTTAACCATTGGCTGTATTGGATATTGCAAAAGACACAACTACTGGCCAGGAACGTTTGTTAACTCAGTGGGAGGGATTGTATCCTGAAGATTCAACTTGGGAATTGCGAGATGAGGTTCTGCAAACTTATCCTTCCTTGCACCTTGAGGACAATGTGTTTGCAAAAGGGGAGGGGGATGTTAAGAATGGGCTTCCCTTAGTAGACTCGGTGCATGACAATAGCCCAATAAGCTCATAAGGGGAAAGAGATGACAGCTTAGAGGAGTCTCAGCCCCATACAAAAGTCAGGATGTCTAAGAGGAGCAAGGTCAAGCGTAAGTGGCTGAGAGATTTGTTAGAATTGAATATCCACACAGATGCAAGAGACAACCATACTTGTGTATCTACAAAAAAACTTTTATGTTCTATTCTTGCTTTCTTGCTCTTTTTCTTTTTCTCTTGATCTACTGGATCTACATTTAATACAAACTATCAAAGGCTATTTATAAGCTATAAAACTGACCAACATAACTCTACACATAACACCCTCGTTACTTTATAACTGACATAACTGACTCATTAATATTCTAACTGACATAATTGACTCATTAATATTCTAAAAAACGGCTAACTCTTAACCATCATTCATTCCTAAAAAACAAAACTTCTAAACCCATTAAATAAAAAACGGACATTTAAATTTATCCCAACAAAACTCCCCCATAAATTTTAAATTCTTCTTTCTTTCTTCGCGTTGCTTCAACTTTCTGATAGCGCTTGTTTTCTTCAATCTTGATCACTGACAAAAAACATCTAACACCTTCCAACTTAATCAACACAAAAAATATCTCCCATGCAATTATTTTTCTGAACATATTTTATTTTATCCGGTGGCTTCTTCAATTTGATATTTTCAGTTTCATTAGCAGGACTTTCCTTGTTTCCATTCGCTGCATCTTCTTCACCGGCAAGTTTCTCGTCACCCAAATTCTTCTTAGTTTCATTCGCCACTTCATCAGTTGCTTTCACAATTTTATTTCCTCGTCCAATCCCAATTTCTGCATCATTGGTATTGTCAACAAAACCTCTTTTTCTCTTCAAGACCACATCCTTTTCTTCAAATGCACCTTCCATTTTTTCGCCGTTCTCGGCTCCTTCATTGTCGTCTTCCTCGCACCTCCTCAATGGCATCTCGGACCAGCGACCTATGCCGGTCGCCGACGTCGACCTCGTCACGCCGGGGTCGAAGTCTCTTCCAAAACATGAACTCGGTGATTTAGCCGGGATCTCCCCCATCCCGGTTATCAACACAGAACTCGGATTCGCGGTCTCCTCCATGTCGGTCTCCATCAAGCACCTCGGCTTCTCAATCTCCTTTCCGATTTTCGACTCTTCTCCAAACACTCAGGTTCCGCGAAGTCTTCTACCTCGACAATGGACTCGTCATTCCCGTCCTTCTCTGCTTCGATCTCGGCTCCTTCGTTCTCCTCATCTGCTATCTCAGCTCCTTCGTTCTCCTCATCTTCTATCTCGGCTCCCTTGTTCTCCTCATCTTCTATCTCGACTCCCTTGCCCGCAGTCATCTCCATCGTCTTCTTCTCCGAGTCGTCTCTTACGCGTTCTGACACGTCAATCTCCTCCGCGGATGCGTTGCCGTTGGCAACCTCGGATTCCGCCATCATGGTCTCTTCTTCATCCGCATCATTCTCCTCATCTTCATCATCATCATTGAAGATTTCATCTTCTTCATTAATCAGATCAAAACGTCCAGGCAAGTATTTTGTTATGAAGGCCACTAGAAAATCCTTCCACATATTATTAAAGTAGCGGCAGTTCCATGTACGGAACCATTTGATTGCGCTTCCTCTGAGTCTTCTCATGGCTACCTGTCATTTGTCCTCCGTCCAGGTTTTTTCTTTCCGAAAATGTTCCTTCAAATAGAGAAGTCAATCCAATGCTTCATCCTTATCTCCATGGAAGAGTGGCACCTCTAACTCGCTCTTTTTCTCCATAGCTCTGATACCAATTTGTTAGAATTGAATATCCACACAGATGCAAGAGACAACCATACTTGTGTATCTACAAAAAAAACTTTTCTTTTCTATTCTTGCTTTCTTGCTCTTTTTCTTTTTCTCTTGATCTACTTGATCTACATTTCATACAAACTATCAAAGGCTATTTATAAGCTATAAAACTGACCAACATAACTCCACACATAACACCCTCGTTATTTTATAACTGACATAACTGACTCATTAATATTCTAACTGACATAACTGACTCATTATATTCTAAAAAACGGCTAACTCTTAACCATCATTCATTCCTAAAAAGCAAAACTTCTAAACCCATTAAATAAAAAAACGGACATTTAAATTTATCCCAACAAGATTTTGCTGTGTAATGTGCTTGGCTGTGTAGAGTGACTATTTGTATTGTTGTTAGTTATTTGAGGTGTGAGGATGCATTTTCCATTCTGTTAGGAAGCGTGAGTCATGCCCATGCGTGTAGATGCTAGTGCATTGCTTTTATTTTTCTGTTATAGGTGAGAGAGTATCGTTATAAATACTTATGTATCTTGCCACATGAGGAATAAGAAGTTTGTTCATTCGAGAATTTCTGGTTTATGAGGCATAATCTCTCCTCGAAATGAGATCCTTATCCTTCTTTCTCTTTTAATTCACTGATAGATAACTCCATTGTTATCATAATATTAATAAATTATTCGTAACGCTATGATCCATAGTTAATAGAAAAAGTACTTGCACCAAAGACCTTTTGAAAAGTTCCAAACCTGTTAACTGCTGGGTTTTGTGAATAATTAATCTTGTTTGGCTTTGGTAGCCGTAGAATCTGTGATTTGCGTGACTCACATTGTATGGAGCGTGGAAGTCAGAATTCGTCATGGCTACAGCTTCTGATGGCTAACTTACCTATTTTATATGGCAATTCCGAACGCCACAAACCGGACAAAAGCTGTTGAAAAGGTAACGAAGAAAAGGAAAAAGAAAGAACATAAAATATTAGGTAAGAAATAATAATCAAGTAACCTCAGCCATGGGTCATAACTGTCTTTTTCTCGTCTTCTTCTCTCATGGGCGCCTGCCCTAACTGAAAACGACTGCAAGCAAACTGTGGTCTACCTGTTTAATTTTGTAAAATGATAGAATATTATGCTTATTTTTATTTAATATCTATTCTATTTAATTTTCTTCCACATCAAAATTTTAATTAAACTTCATCATTTACTTATTTTTTTTGAAATTCTTATATAATGATATTAAAAAAAACTAAGTAGAGTTTGCATAAAAAAAAAGTTGGCTTTAATATCCTATCTTTTTTAAAGTGAAAATAAAAAGTTAATATACACACCGACTCAAATACCCACTACTCGTATTTGTCTATATAAACTCTGTTTCTCTTGCTCTCTATCTTCACTTTCTATATCGGGTTTCTCAACTCGGTGATCATATTCTCTCTTTTTTATGTACGTTGTTTGGTTTTCTGGGTCTTTCTCCCTCTCTCTCACCTTCCAAGTTCGCATCTTTCTCTCCTCTTCTGCTCACAACTCGGTGAGTCTGTGCACACCAAAACAATGGTGGATCTTCAAACCGTTTGCTGCATGTGCGGTGACGTTGGTTTCCCTGACAAGCTTTTCCGTTGCGACAAATGCCGCCATCGCTTCCAGCACTCGTATATATGCTTTCTTTCTCAAGCATCATTCGCTTAAGATACCATATCATGTACATACACATACATGTGCGCATACATACATCTACTCTAATATTTCTTTTTCTTAACAAAATCATGTTTAATTTCATAGATACAAGCAACTGTTCAACTATTGTTTTGATAACCATCGTATAAAAAATGAGGATTTTCTTTACGATCATGTGCAGATATTTTTGTTTTTGCTAACTTTTATGTTCATATAAAGCTTTATGTAAGATAATTTTTTCTTCTTTTTTTTTTTTAGTGTTATTTTAGGGGTGAATTAAGCTTAAATTTTAATTAATCTTTTCAGGTATTGTAGCAACTACTATGGAGAATTACCAGAGATAGAACTGTGCGATTGGTGCCAAAGTGAGGAGAAGAACTCGAGACATATTGGCTTCAATTCGAAGAAACCGGTGACCGGAAATGAGCCCGGAACGACAAACAGATCTGAATATTCCGGCGAGAGAATCAAACAGCATGATCGCGAAGAGAGTGGCTCTGAGAAGGGAAAGAGCCCCACGCCATCGCCGCGAACCACCACACGCAGGTACAAGCTTCTCAAGGATGTAATGTGTTAAACAGAGGAAAAGTAATAAAGCGTCTCAGAAGAAGATAAAGCAATATTATAAGTGACTTATGTGACAAGTAGATGGTTTGTGTTTATAGCGTGTAGTAGCTTTGCAAAGAGTGTGTTTCTTAATTTGAGTGATCTTCTACCTCTCTTGTTTTGATTTTTACTAGTTTCCATAATCTATGGGATAAGTTTCAGGCTCTTCTCTCCATTTCTTTTATTTTTGCCCAAATATAAGTGTAACTTCAATATATATATATATATATATATATATATATATATATATGTATATATATATATATATATATGGGGCAGGAAGTCTTATACTCAATCTTGACTATTGATCCACTTGTATTCAATGGGTCACATTACTAAAAAATTAGAGTCCTTATATATAAATTTATATATAAATGGGAACAACGGACAAGATTGAGAGTAACTTACACTGGTGTAAAATGATCCTGACCCTATATATATATATAATGTTGTGATCTCATTTGCAAGATACGGAACTTGGAGTCCCACATTGGTTGTATGGACAACTAACGTGAGGTTTATAAGACCTTGAGCACTCCCACACTAACTTTTGGGGTGATGCACCTCAATGTTCTTATCAAAATGAAATATATATAAAAATGAAAAATATATATATATATATATATATATATATATATATATTCACAAATATGATAAGCAAAAACAATCTAGCTCATTTTTCATTTTTTTAAAGATAAATAAAACTTTGATGTTAATGCATAGTACACATGAAGTATGTTTCGTGCATGAGGTTGGTTAACTGAAGTGATTGGAAAATAATATTTTATTGGAATCCTACTTCAAGACGCAAAGGCTAATTCAATTGACACAAAGTTGTTAAACATCATTTTATTGTTTCAAATGCAGGGTTTCATTCCCTAAGAAACATTAACAAGTTAGTTTCAGCTACTAAGTTCTTTCTTTTCCTCGATTTGTTAGCTAACATCATCATCTTGAGGTGAATTGAATGCATTACTATCCTTTTGGGCGAAGAATCCATAGTACCAGAAGCCTGCTATAACTTTTGCAGATTCATTGAAGGCCTTTAATTGCTAGGCCATCACTATAGTTGCCTATGTTAAAGAAATGAAGGTTCTTGATTAGAAGTGGAGGATTTTCAACATGTAAGTTAGATGGTATGCGTGCCTTCATTTTTTTCCTCTCTCCTTTATTTTCCTTTATATAATATACCCTTGGCATGCAATCTTAATGATCATCTATGTCTACGCAAGAGTTTTTCTTGTCATTTAGACGGAAAAAGAAATGTGTGTGGTGAAGTGTTTACAGATTAGATGAACTAGACTTTCCAGTTGTGGTGATTGTTTCTAGGCCACACATTTATTCTGTGAAACTATGTTGATATTTCTCTAACAAGTTTGTACAGAGTTGACCCCTGGTTTGTGAAATATCTCCGAAATTTACAAGCTGATAAGGCCTTCTTCACTGTCCCTGTTCTGGCCATTTATTAGAAACCAACAAATCCTTTTACACTGGGTTTTTGGAGAGACAATAAATTCATCGTTTCCATCTAACCAAATCATGTTTTTCGCTTTCTTTCTCCATATTGTCACCAAAGAAGAAATCTCTCTCTCTCTCTCTCTCTCTCTCTCTCCCTCTCTCTTTCATATCTTTGTCTGACCCTCGTGTAAGTTTCCTACATGGTTGGGACCTTAAGAAGTGACAATAAAGAGATAAAATGTGCCAGCTACCGTATTTATGAGTATTCTACGATAGATACAATTAATTCATAAGCTTAGCAACATGTATTAAGAGATGCATTGAAAATGGGTTGTACTGGACAATAAATAAATCTATTCAATTTGAATACAATACAAAATTTAAATCAAAATATATAAGTTTTAGTATAAAAAAAAATAAAAATTTAATTTGTGATTTAAATTAAAAAAATCTAAAAATTTATTATTAATAAAAAAAATTGATTTGTGATTTAAACTCAAATTTCAACCGAAAAAATCTGTATTAATAAAAAAATAAAAAAATATTTTAAATCTATTCAATTTTCAGAAAAAAAAAATAAAAAAAAAACTTATTCAAATCAAAGCAACAGAAGGTTGCCTAAAAAAAAGCAAAAAAGTGTATTTTTAAAATATCTTTACCGACTTTGTTTTATTCTTACGAAGTCGAAAAAAATTTAAAAGGGAAGATTTTTTTTTTTAAAAAAAAAAAAAATCATTTAGAGGCTATAAGCTTCTAACAAGTTCAGCCAAAACCATTCAATACCTTTTGGGAATTTGAATTTATATAATATTAATTATATTATATATTTTTAAATTATTTTTATTATATTTCTATATTTTTCAATTCATGATGCACAATAAAAAAATCGGTCAAATAATACATAATAGATATTGCAATTCAACAATCTTTGCGATCAACATGTATATACAAAGGTCAAATTTTCTACAGTGAGTAGTGAAATAAATGGAAAAAGAGGGAGACAGAGAATTTGAGATTACCTTAATCTGTCACATCTATTTGAGATTGCATCAGTTTCAGCTAATTACTGTTCATTATTCTCTGTATTAGCTACTATCTACTTTATCATGCACATCCTCATCTCTACTTTCATATTCTAGTCTAACTTTCGCGTCATCCTAATTTGGGGATTAAGTAAACTCGGAATAATAAACACATGATGACCCCAGTAGCGGTCTCCTTGGTCTATCCGCACTTTCCTTTCTTTCTAATCCATCATCAAGATTAGTCACATGCTTGCTTGGCTTCCCTTCATCCCCTCCACCTTTCCTTTCCCAACTTACAAGCAACATTCCAAATGTAGGATCTAACACATATTAACACATGCAATAATGCTGATCCCACATGCAAGTTCTGAGTCAATTCTCATTCTTCAATGCAATCATTTAAATCAATAACAACTGCACATTTTGATTGCAAAATATTAAAGCTAGATAGCTGCAACCCACATATAACTTCTTTTTTTCAAGTACGAAAATATATGGCATGGTTTTGTCAAAGCTATTAGTATTATTTAGCTCATAATTAATTCTTATATTTTAACCTCCTAACAAATTATGCAGGTAGCTAGCTGGATAATGCATTCGGAATATTAGAATTTAATCTTTAACAAAACTATATATTTTCAGATTTGTGTTTAATTTTATTATGCGTTATCTCTGATAAAGTATTGTTGTGTTTTGCAAATTGCTTGCAATTAGGGGTGAAACTGGGTCGGGCCGGCCTACAGGGCCTCTGGCTCGGCCTATGTTAGGTCAGACCTAACCTAATATATTTTGTAAAATAGGCCGGGCTTTGACCTTGAAAAAGCTTATTTAATAAAAAGATCATAGACCCACTTTCATAAAGCCTGGCCTACAAGCCTACATGTCAGCCTATATTGTACTATTTATTTTAAATAAAATAAAATAGAATAAGTATGCCTTGAAGAAAAATAAAAGATTTAAATTTAATCAATTGCAATTATTTATAACTTAATTATATTCGATTATATTTTAATAGAAATCTAACTTTATTTCTTATATAAGAGGAACCAACATCTCAGCATGTTAGATTGTATATATGAATATATTAAAAAGTTTTTGGGAGATGTTATACTTACTACAAGCATCATGATGTGTTTGTTGGATTCATGTAGTTATTTTAATTTACATAGTATAGATTTGTTTGTTGGATCTGATGAAATATATGTTATTTAGTTTGAGCATTTTGCTTTTGAAAGCGACTTAAATGCATATTATATGAGTTTTGTTGTGATTCATGATTCTGTTTGGACGTTGAAATTATGATTTTTGGTTTAGTAACAGAATTTGAGTATTTTGTAAAGTTGATTCATGGTTCTGCTTGGAAGTTAAAAATTAATAGGCTAACGTGCTAGGTCGGGCTATTTGTTTTTTTATAAACAGGCCAAGCCAAACTAACAGTTAGACTCGTACTAGGCTTAGGTCAAACCAAATTAAAATATTTTGGCGTAGGCTTGGCCAGCCCACTTTCACCCTTACTTGCAATTAAGCAATAAAATTCAGCATTTATTCTTGTGTTTATCTAAATAACTCTTATAAAATTTTATAATGATCTAAAGTTGGTTTTTCTTTTATTTAAACATCTAAAGTAAGGTTAAGTTTACAAAAGATTAAGATTTGAATAGTGCAATCTCAATTTCGTTTGTGGCACTAAAACAATAATATTATTAACCTGTCTAAATAGAAAAACATTTATATTTTGAGGGGAGATATTCTAACTACCAAAAATATTCACTACCAACTCACTATCTTCACAATTACCATTGGATCAAAGAGAGAGAATGGTGAAAAGTTTTTGAAGAGAGAGAAAATATTAATCCAATGGTGATTATGGAGGTTGGGTTGGTAGTAAATTTTTCTAGTAGTAAAAACATCCTTATTCTTATATTTTTGCCGCTAATATATTCTCTATCAATTATACTCTACAATTAACTTTTCATTTAGATGAAACCCTTTAAGAAAAATAAAATAATATACTACCTAGCTTTCTGGTAGATATGTAAAAAGAATTTCCACTTTATCTTTAACATATGCGTATGGAAGATCTTATCTCAGTTAACACATTAAAGTCAAATTTTGATCCATACTGCTATTATATTTTATGAAAAATATTCAAGTACAAAGCTAAGATGAGAAACATATCAAATTTGAGGGCACCAATTTTTTAATTTTTGATTAATACAGAAAAACGTGGATGGCCTATGATTATGACAAATGGATAGCATTATTATAGAAAATGTCAACTCTTAGCACTTGTAATCTTCGGTGTTAATTTTGTCTATAATGGAATTTGATATGATGGGACGAAACCACCAAGACGCATATTTTACTAATATCTGTTCGTTCGTCGGATTTCTTAATTAAAGTTGATCACGAAGCGTTATTATTATAATGGAAAAATATTGCTAATTTTTTATATTTAGATTTGTCGATGATGCTTAAGGGTTCTGTGGGTAGAGAATTGATGTTCAGTCAAATTAAGTATAACAATAGTATTAAATTTACAACATACGGGGGTCAATGTCTTGATCTTATCATTTCCATTTTCTATATATGTGTG